AGTGTGGGCAGAGCTCGTATCTCTTAGTTGAGTCTGATGATGATATATGCTAGTGTGGTAGAATTGTTTATACCCGTTGTCTGTGTGATACTTGTATGTTATGGTTTAGTAGCGGAGTGTGGGCGAGGCCCGTATCTCCCAGATAGCAGAGTGTGGGCGAGGCCCGTATCTCCATGAGTGTGGGTGAGGCCCGTATCTCCTAGATGTTCATTATATGATTGTATGGTATACGGTATTATCGGGGAACTCACTAAGCTTCGTGCTTACATATTACAATTTTGTTTTAAGGTACCTCTTCTTCGAAGGGGAAGGAGCTAGCGCGGTAGTGGCATATCATACACGCACATTGTTTTCCGCACCATGAGTTATTCTGGGATTTGTACTCTAACATTATTATATGGTTGTTTTCATGTTTTGGTTTTCGGAAATGAAATATGTTTATGGAATGATGGAATCAAAGGATGTTTATTCACAAATGTTTTCCAAAGTGTTGATTTAAAAATGAAATTTTTTGTCATGAAAATTAGGTTGTTACATCATCCCCTACCCAATTCTGATTAATCGCCCACCTAAGCCGAGTTTTGCAAGACTATATATATATATATATATATATATATATATATATATATATATATATATATATATATATATATATATATATATATATATATATAGAGAGAGAGAGAGAGAGAGAGAGATCAAATTGGAGCCACTAAATGATATGAGCCATTTAAAAACTGTTTTCATCAATGGCATTTTGTCAATTCAAACATTAACTAAGAATAACCTCTAATATAATTAACACATTCAGATCTATAAAACTCTCTCAATCTCTCCTACCCATCTTCAAAGCAAATAAACCCTTACACAATTGCCGCTAGCCGTCGCCCTTGCACCACTGCCGAAAGTTTCTCGTTGTTGTTTCCTATACCGACGAATCACGACCATCAGTTCTATAAGTTTCGTTCGAATCAACACCTCCATTTGAACCAAAAACCACTCTACATATTCGATTTCCAACAAACCCCCACCCCTACCAATGTCTCTGCTAATTTATCGGATGATTGTGATCCTGACGACTTTCCTTTCAGCTTCTTGTGCATACCTAGTTCGATCCGAGTGATTTTTTATTTTTGTGTTTGGTGGTGATTATTTTAGTGGTTATGGTTGAACATCTACTATGTGGACATGTGGACGAACATCTATTGTTTGGACGTGTGGAAACTGCTATTATGTGAGAATGACTAAGAAAAATTGTTGTTTGATAATGTGAATGCGTTCAAAATCACATAACTATTATCATTATCAAACATTTTCACTAACTAAATCGTCTATAAGGGTATTATGGACTTTTTTTTTATGATTCTCATTCCGTCAGAACGTGTTCTTGATAATCGTATTCAGTAAGAATAAGAATCAGTGAAAAACAATGTGTGAGAACAAAAATGAATAACAATTAGTGAGAATGCATGATAATGACGATATTTATGTGACGTTGAATGTATTCACATTACCAAACAACCTATTTTCTTTGCAATTCTCATAGAATAGCATTGTTCACATACGTCTGCATATATATATATATATATATATATATATATATATATATATATATATATATATATAGTTTAATCCAATAAAAGTCATAAAACGTATATGAAATTAACCATGTTATTAACTATATAACCAAAATATTTTCTAGTTCAATAGTATCAGGTGTTATCACCACTCTTTGAGGTTAAGGATTCAAGTCCCATCGTGGACATAAGTGGGAAATTAAGGTGTTGTATGTTTTTTCGAAGCGAAAATGCAAGAAGTCTGCAGACCATCTTTGCATTTCTCTGCGGTAGAAGAGGTGGACCAAACGGCTGCAACCTGTAATAAGAAGTTTGTTTGTTTTTTTTAATCTGTGTAGACTGCTGCAATAAACAAATATTTAAATAAACTAATTTTACAAAATTAAAATAGGTTTTCAACACAATTTTTAATAATTTTTAGTCTTAAAACATTGAAATAAAATTCAGAAAATTTTTGTATAAAAACATTAAATACTATTAATTAAATACTATTTACAAATTAAACGGATTAACATTAGAATTACATTGTTTTAGCTTAATAACGTCCTTGTGAATTGCTTTAAATTGCTCTTGATTTGGATTTCATTCACAAACACTTGATTCAACACTTCAACATAAGCTCCTCTTTGCCTTTGCTTCACCTTCTGCACAAATACAAGTGTGATTTCAAAGAGCATAAATACATTAAATTTTTACGAACATCCTTCTGATTACAAGCATAGAACATTTGATCATTTGCATTTGTTACTAGAGATGTGCAAGACCAACAAAATGTAATTAAATTAAACTTCAATATTCTCTCAAGCATTTCATCGAGCACATGTAGTGCACAATTTGTTACCTCTTAAATTATTACCACTAGATGTATACACATCCATCCCACTCTTTAGACATCCAATTCAGCATAACAATAAATTCAATTAATGAAACTAACTGAGTTTTTAGTAAAGATTATTAACATTTCAACATAACAAGAGCTTCAATTGATGACATTTCACCAAAAAATTATGTTATTTTAACAACAATATATGACATTTCAGCAAGAATACATCATGAATAAGAAAATAATGGCATCAACAAAGATTTGACCACTATAATCAACAAATCAACATGAAAAAGCAACATATACTTACATATGTTGCTGATTTCAGCAAAGATGAATCAGAATCTTGTAATCGATATCTATGTGGGTGTATAATAAATTAATCAATTTCAACATAATATATAAGAAACAATAAATTTGACAACATCATCAATTAAGATTCAGCAACAACAAAGATAGCAACAAGAATTCAACAAAAAAACGAAAATAAATAAATAAGATGAAGCATGAAATAATCGTTGCTTTTTTGGATTAATCAGTTTATCAAAAGAGGAAATCTAGGACAATTTTAGTTCTAAAGATATTTTAGGAAACATTCTTTTTATGCAATTCATGTGTTAGAGTAGGAGCCTAGTTTTATTAGTATAAATAAGGTTAATGTTTAGGATGTTTAAGTTAACTTTTTCCAGCAATAAAGTTCACCAAGTAATTCCTCATTCTTGTTCTTTTCTTCTTCTTTGTTTAGTTCATACCTTGGACACCAAGGTAATATGTTAGGTGCATTTCATGCATTCATTTTGTAGTTTTAGTTCATAAAAGTGCATTACATTTAGGTTTAAACTCATGCATTTTGCATATTTTCGGGATTTTTCATGATGCAATTCCATTCACACACTTTTATGATATTTCAGGGACTTTTGAAGGTTGGATCTTGATGGAGGAAGTTATCAAGAGTTGGAGACAAAGTTATAGACGTTTTGGAGCTTTGAAGAGAGAGAATGAAGAAATGAAGAATTTGGCTTCTCAGGAGTTTACACGGCCGTGTAAAACATATACCTACAATTTACACAGGCCGTGTAAACGCATATGCAAGGGCATTCTACTTCGAAGATCTGGAAGAATTAAACATTCTACTTTTCTTGTTTACACGGCCGTGTAAATGGCACCCTTTAATTTACACGGGCCGTGTAAACGTCTCGACAGTTTTAAAGTGGTTTTATCCCTTATAATTCAGACAATCAGTTTTATGAGGAGTTAGGTCGGATTTTGGGAAGAAATAAGGCGATTTTCAGAGCTTTTGCAAGTAGATTAACACTTGGAAAACACTTTAGTTTCTTTTTGTAAGTCAATTTAAAGTTTAAACTTGTTTGATTTGTAGTTCAACCTAGACATGTGTGGTTGATTTTATTATCATTTCCGAATCTGAATTCTTAAGTATGTGTTGTTAGGTTGTAACTTGAATTTGAGTTGTGTTTAACATCTAATAATCTTTGATTTGATCTTAATCATGTGTTTGGTTGGTTCTCTTTTTCACTTGATCAATGAACTAGGGTTCTAGTCAATCTAGTTAATCAAATCATGAAATTCGTATATGTTTTATGATTTGATGTTAGTAACACTCACTTACTTGGTTGTAATTAGATCAAAATTAGTGCAGTCAAAGATTAAATTTTTATATTCCCAAGCTTAGGAGGAATGTTAAACATTGTTGGTAATTAGTGCAAGAACTTAATGTCATTTAATGATTTGATGCAAGAGCCTATTTGATTTGAATCAATTAAATGAAGTTTTATTTGAAGAGCTTGTTTTGAATAAAATACTTTTGCCAATTTGGATATTAGAGTTATTAATATACAACTTACCAACCTAGATTGAACATGAGTTATAATCATATTACATCTTTCAACATAATACATATATATAAGAGTCAGAATCGGAAATGTACTTCTTTTACTGCGTTTGTTTTCAATCTTTATTATTTATGAAGTTTAATCCAAGTTCAAACACAAACCCCCATTTTAATATTATTTGTATTATGTGTGAAAATATGGCAAGATAAGAAGTCCTGTATTCCTGTGGACCGACCCTGCTTACTCTATACTATCTTTAGTATTAGAAATAGCAGTGATTTGAGCTATATTAATATTATTTTATCCCATCATTTGTTGGTTTGACACCCAAACATAATATCATGTGGTATACCCACACTTGGTATCAGAGCCTAGATCCTAGGGCTTGTAAAGGCGTAGGGTGGACGGTTTGAGAGTCGATTTCAAGAAAACTGTTGCCTTGTGCTGCGGGGAAGACGTAATGGGAACCATGTTCGATTTAAGGGGGTGTGGATTGTTTTTAGCGCGAGTTGAAGCTTCTCAATAGTAAGCCTCAGTTTTTCTTGACCGGGCTTGCTCTAAAGTAGAGAGAGACTAACCGGAGGCGCGGAATAAATGGACAAGAATATGTCAAAGCGGATGGCTTTGATTCGGTTCGTTTTGCGGGTGATGGAAGATGATAAAGGTGGTCGTGACCTTATCCTGTTATTCGGTGGAAAAGTGCTCTCGGAACAAGTTTGATTAGGTCGGGGTTGTCAAAAGGAGAATACGATGTCGTTGGTTAAAGAAGGAGGTTTAATGACGTTTCAAGTTCCGGTTTTGACTCCAACGAATTATCCGGTGTGGGGAATCAAAGTCAAGTTGATTATTGATGCATACGACATATGGGAGACGGTTGAATCGAGGGTGTTCAATGGAAGAATATCTCGGAATATGATTGATCAGCAAATGTATGATTGTCAAGTTAAGAAGGGAATGGACAAACAACACGGTGTAAACATTATGGCGGTGGAAGTTCAAATCGGATGGCTTTGGATCTGGCCCGGGAGAGGTTGTGAGTCTGGGAAAAGTCAAGATGGTAATGAACGTATCGAACGGGATTTAATGGTGCATGTTATGTGTGTTGTGAACAATCAAAATGTATGGAAGACTTTGGACGTGACCGAGGTGGAGGTCGGGTGCCGGGGAAAGGTCGAGAATCGTGGTGGTTGTTGCCTTGGTAAAACAGGTTGTTGGAACAAGGTACAACAGGATTATGTATGGTTCGATGATGATGATAGCAGGTGGCTCTCGGTATTCAAATACTAAACATGGTGTTGCTTAAAGCAACTGTTGTCGATGGGTTTTGCACATGAACCAACTAGTAGGTCGATGGTGAACAAAGGTTGTGAATGTGGTGGTGTTCGTTGGTGGTTAATGACAGAGAAACACAGTTGTAAGTGATAGGCGTGGACAAATCGATTAAGAGGGTGATTGTTGGATTAATTGGTTTATCACAAGAGGAAATCTGGGACGATTTTTGTTCTAGGGATATTTTAGGAAACATTCATTTTATGTAGTTTGTGTTAAAGTAAGAGTCTCGTTTTATTAGTATAAATAAGGTTAATGTTTAGGATGCTTAAGTTAACTTTTCCAACAATAAAGTTCACCAAATGATTCCTCATTCTTGTTATTTTCTTCTTCTTTGTTCAGTTCATTCCATGGGCACCAAGGTAATATCAGGTGGTATACCTACATGCTTCAGCAACAACAAACGGAAAAAAAAAAAAAAAAAACTTACCTGATGAAGGCCGATTGACTGACGACTACGGGGAGGAGGCTGTGCCTGGGAAGGAAGTTGCACCAACAAAAGATGTTGCGATTGAAGATGAGCAGTCGTCAAAGGGAAGAGGGGTACGACATTTTTTTTCTTTACAGAAGAACTACCGATTTTTTTAGGTTTAGGCGTGAAAAGACAATGCAAGTACTGTCCAAAACAGAACATGCACACTTGTTTTTAGGTGTGAAGACTTTTAAAAAACAAATTGTTGTGGATAAAAAGTGTTGTGCTGCACAACAATAAATGATTAGAAGAAGTTTTTTTTTTTTTATATGAAAAACAAACAAAAATCAAATGTTAGTTTAGAAATAAATTATATTTGCAGGTGAAAAAATACATATTAATACTTATATTTACAAATTATTTATGATATTTGAATGATTATTTTTCTTAAAAGACATTAACTTCTTTTCTATTACATAATGTGAATCGATTAAAAAGTAAATAATTGAAATCATTACTTAATCAAATCAATTACACTAAAATAGTAAAACTGTAGTGTTGATTATCATAATAACTAACCTAATAATCGTTTTGTGAGAAAGAAGAACACAATCAAATCTACGATTTGGCGATACAATCAAACAACTACATCATTTCATCGTTTGTATGTAATTTTTATATATATATTTTTTATTTTTTTATATATATAATTAAATAAATACTAAAAAAGAGTACGAATTCATTTATTGTGTGAATAAACAAGATATATGTGTTGACAATTAAAGCACGAGGCTCCGTTGCAGTCCCGCTGCTGCTTTTTAGTTTTTCTGTTCATTGCCACCAACTTGGTTGCTGCTTTCTTTCACTTACGCCTCGAAGTTCCAAGAACAACAAACAACAAAAAGCCTTCATATAAATCAATTAAATTAACCTTCCCCATTGCTTTTAATTCAAATCCATGTTCTTTTCATATTACGAGGTTCCACTGCACGCTAACTTCTCTCTCTCTCTCTCTCCTTCATCGCTTCATTTCAAAACCCTTTATTTATACCCAAAAAGGCAAAAATTCAACTCTGTGATTGAAGAAGTAGGGAGACGATAATGTCAACAAGAAGTAGGAGGGTCAAATGGCACCTAACACCACCCCCACCTAGCCCAAAAATCATTAACTTACCTAGAAGGCGTAGTACCCACCGGAAAAAACCCAGAGCCACCGTCAATAAACAACCCATCTCGGCCACCACTGGCTCCGGGATGATACAGACGTATAATTACAAAGGGAAGCTGGAGAGTTTGTTTGGTGCGGATAGAGAGTTTACGCGTGATCAGGTTGTGCTGTTGAGTTCGTCGGAGAGAAGAGAGAGGGTGGAAGCGGAGGTGGTGGAGGAGGAGGACGCTGGCGGTCGGCTGGCGGAAGAGAAGTGGAGGTTTCAGGCGGAGATATTGCGAGCAGAGTGTAATTTCTTGAGAATGGAAAGGAAGTTTGCGTTGAAGAAATTGGAGAAGAATCGGGTTCGAATTGAAAAAACTCTCAAATCTGCTTTACAAAATCTTGCTTCTGTAAGTCTTTTTTCCCAAATTAACAACATTTTTTAAATACACCGATCTTATTTTGCCTCTGAATTTGATTTTGATCCATTGTTTTACAGGGAAGAAAGAAGCTTTTTGAAGGGAAGAACATGGAAGTGGTGTTGGAGGAAGAAATGAAAGAATTAGCAGAGAAATTAGAGGAGTTGCAGAGTAGCTGTAATGGCAGCGACGATCGTGAGCTTCAGAAATGTAAAAATTTCGATAAAAAGGCATCACATTTACAACGAAGATTGGAAAAGCTTGGAGGATTACCAGAGGACGAATACAAGGAGAGGAAGAACGAATCAAGTTTCCATGATCAATCAAATTCCGAAGTCAACGAAAACACCTCCATTTTGAACTGCAAAAGTCAACCCAAGTCCACCGATGTAAGATCATTCATTCAGTTTATATTTATGATTATATAACTTTTTTTATATTTCGATCCATGGAGGTCATCTGTTTGAATGTTTCCATTTTGAATTTGGATTTGCAGGTTGAAACGTTGGAAAGAAAAATGGAGGGGCTATCGAAGGGTGTGTTAGATGTGATGATGGAGAAGGAGTACGGATCTATCATCAATAGTTCGGTTGCAAGTTCGGCTTCTACTTCAAAACGAATCGATTTCCCTGATCACTTTTCTTTTTCTAATAGATTTGCTAATCACACCAAGGTACTTTGTGAATCATATACAATCCTTATTGGGCTAGTATGTAACTTAGGGTTTTGGGCATGGGGTGTTACTTTTTTTTTTTTGGTGGTTATGTGAAGTGATGATTGAATAAAGAAAGTATATTTTATAATAGGAATCATTGGAGGCTAACAACAAATGCTCGGGGCGTTGTAAGGTGTTGGTGAAGAGAGTAGTGGAGCAAGTGAGAGCCGAGACCGAACAATGGACACAAATGCAAGAGATGCTTGGACAACTAAGACATGAGATGGAAGAGCTTCAAACTTCAAAAGACTTTTGGGAAGGTCAAGCTCTTGCTTCCAATAACCAAATCCAAACCCTACAATCCGATGTAAGCTCCATGTTTATGTGTGTTGCGCGTGTTATTGTTAGTGTCATGCATCAGCTAGACGCTGTGTCATCTGTCTTTATATATGTAAAGTTTCTACTCTCGCTTTTGTTGAATGAAAAGCTAGTATTCCACATATCCAATATTGTATCATGTCACATCATGCCAATGTGACATGTTAGTGTCTCACATCATCTAGCTAGAAACAGTCTCATCTGTCTTTATATATGTCAGAGTCTTTTCTCTCTTTCTCTCTTAAGGAGAAAAAAATCAAGGACTTGACATTGCTCAACAATTCTTAACATTTTATTATTATTATTTTGGTTTTAGGTTGAGGAATGGAGAGAGAAGGCAATCAAGTATGAAACAAAGGCCAACAAGCTCGAAACGGAGGTTGTTTTGGTGAGGGGTGAGCTTGAAAAGTTAAAGAAAGATGAAATTACCTCAACGCCCAAAAAGCCAGTGGTTTCTCTAGGTAAACAAATCGAAAAGGAGGCAAAGATTGGGCTAAGTTGTCGAATGAAGGGACAATGTGATGTTATAGATAGTAATAGACATGAGAAAGTTGAACAAAGTAAGAAAGACTCACAACCGTTGTCATTGGGGAAACAACTTGCAAAGGAAAAGAGGATACTCATTTCAAGATTGAAGGAAAACCGAACGAGGGATAATGAAATGTCGAGTGAAGGGCGAAGAAAAGGGTATAATTACTTGGTGAGATCTCCGTTTAAAGATATAGGGAATTCATCATCAAATAGCAATGCAGTTTACCCTTTGCACTGACTACTTAAGTGTAGTTTGAGGTGGTATTAGGCTAATAATGCAATTTGTATGCATGTCAATTATTTAATTAATGTTAAATTTGAGAAAGAATTCATGATTCATGAAAGTGATATCTTTTTTTGAATGTGTTGAGAGTAATGGTGGATCTTTGTAATCACTTTTTTGTATATATTGACTGGATCGTCTTGTACTATTACAACTGCCCTACTGGGAGGTGGGGGCGATGGTTTCGTTATGTAATAAGTAGGACCGTATAAAAGGATTCAGGACTGACAGGCCCAACATGTCTTTGACTACTTCTAAAATTCTAATTGGGTTAGTGTTTCATTTTAATGTTTTAATTTGATTGAGTAGGATGTTTTAATTTATTATTTAAGATTTTATGTAAACGTTTTAATATCATTATCATGGTTGTGAAACTTGTCATGCTCAGCCTAGTATTTTGGAATTTGACATATACCTGGGTAATTTTTTTGTAAATCCATCAAAAATTAAAATTGGCAAAATCGATTCGACTCGGTCAACTTGGTAATTTTGATTTTTTTTAATAAATAAATATATTTGTTAAGTAATTAATTGAACTTATATCATAGATTTAGTTATTTATTAAACCTTTTGTTGTTTAATATTAATTTTGTACAATTTAATGTAAATTTGATGGAAAAAACAAAAAAGAAATTTTGATAATTAACTGATTACTCTAATATTAAAGAATAAAAGGTAAAAAAAGAAAAATGATGAACAACAACTATTTATCTACCAAAATTCAGAAAAACCCTTACATTTTATTTATATGCTGAAAAACCCTTACATTTGTATTTACCTTTCACATTAAGCAAAATATTTGATTTTTTAAGAAATAACTGTTTTTTTACATGATAATTATCTTTTTCGTTTTTAGGTTGATGTGAAAACAAAAATAAATGTTCTTGCCTCTTGTCTAAGGTAAAATGTGAGTAATAACTCATTTACTCAATAAAAAATAAATACCATTTCTTATTTTTTTCCCATATCACCTAAAAACGAATAAGATAAATATCACGTCATAAAACAAATAGATAACTTCATAAAATGACAAATATTTGGATAAATTGTAAGAGTCGTTCTGGCATATAAAAAAATATAAGAGTTTTATTTGAATGTTGATAGATAAATGGTTGTGTTTTTCTATATTTTGGACAAGAATATATATATATATATATATATATATATATATATATATATATATATATATATATATATTATAATATATATATATATATATATATATATTATATATATATATATCAATTAAAATAGTTTAACACTTTAACATTGAACATTTATTTTTGTTATTGATATTCATTATTTTTTGTTATAAGTTTTAAGACAATATTACATAAATGGTCCACGTGCTTGACAAAAACGTACCAAATTAGTCCTTATGATGAATTTCTTGTAAAGATGGTCCGTAAGTTTTAAATTTTTTGTATAAAAGGTCCTTATGGATAAATATGATAAAAATAAATGTTAATTTTTTTTGTGAAATTACTGATATATCTTACTGAAATTTTATATTTTTCTTTAAATTGTAATTAATTAAAAGAAAATGAGCCCCCTGCCACTCTCTCGCCACATCACATTATCCCCATTGTATTCTTCCTTGTGTTCACATGTAAAAATTAAAAACCCCACACATACACTTCACATGCAGATACACCCCTTTCTTTATATTCATATTTAAAAAATGCATTCCTATGGCCTTACAACCAACTTCTTTCCACCTCATTCTTATTTATCTCCTACAAGACTGTCTCGACGTTCTC